TTCTTTGTAAAAACTTCAATTGAATTTCAATAAAGTTAAAGGCATGGCCTTACCATTAATATTTAAAAAAAAAAAATATATATATAAAAACTAATAGATATAATAAATATAATATATATAATAGATATGTTTCGCATCATTTCGGAATTTACATCGATCTGAATTGACACATGTTATTCAAGAATCGTAAAATGACATATGTTATTTTAGAATCAGTATTCATTTACCGAGTAATAAAAAAAAAACTGAAAAAAAATTTAAAAAAAAAGTTACTGTATAAATGTAAAAAAGCAAATAAAACCAAATTAATGTATAATTGCCTAAATGCTAAATACATGAATTACTATATAATTACATAAATGCTAAATACTAACTGAATTTGTATACAATATTCAAATATTTTATATATATTGAAATAATGTAAATAATGTAATTAAGAATTTTTGCATTCTCCACGTAAAACGCATCCGCATTTTTTTAAACATAGCAAATTCCTTTTTCTGCAAGAACACAACTTGGTTCTACAATTTGTTTTTCGGCAATGGCAAAATTCTGGCTATGTATCTTAGTGTAAACTAATATGAGCTGCAACACTAATGTTATTAAAAGTTATGTAGTTAATATTTATTAATTTTTTTTAATTATTTGTTTTTTTTGATTACTTACTCATAGTGATTAGAATTAGTTAATTTGTTATCATTATGAGGAAGACATGTAAGATTTTGCCTTGCACCTGCTTCTCTCAATGAGAGTATGTTATCTAGTGGTACAACATTAAGATTAGGATAATCTGAAGTACCAAGTTGTTCGAGCTCATTTGCTGAGTGCCAATTCTCAAGAATCCCAAATTTGCAGCTAATTTGATAAGAATCACAGTCAGGTTTCTTTTGATAAACTTTACATGGCAGAGATCTTCGATCCATTTTTATTTTGTCTATATTGGGAATGTGAATTTTTACCAAATCACCAGGTTCATATACTCGATTATGTTTAGTTCCATACTTTGCTTTTATTTTGTTTCTAATAAACTCTTGATTTCTTTTAACATTTAATAAAGCAGCATTATGAACAATTTCATGCTTTGGATATATAGGTCGCATTGAATTTGTAATGTTAAGTAATAGCATTCTAGGCTAAAATATTTTAAAATTAAAATGAATATTTTAATAATAATAATAATAATAATAATAATAATAATAATAATAATAAATACTTCATTATTTCCTATAATTTCTTGAAATTCAACATTTATATTATTTATTTCAAGTAGTTCAACTGAAATAGCCTGCCATTTTTCTTTTTGAATAGCACTATATCGATTTTCAATTAGTTCTGAGTTGCTAATTTTATTTTCAATTGGCTTTGAGTTGCTAATTCGATTTTTAATTAGTTCAGAGTTTCTAATTCGATTTTTAACATCTTCAGAATCACTAATTTCAATTATTTCTTGAATATTAGTATTATTGATGTCAATAAAATCATTTCTATAATCAGATATGATCATTATTTCAGAGCTACTTTCAGAAATACTAAAATTTAAATTTTTCAGATTAATATCTTCTAATTCAGAGCTTTTTATTTCAGAATCTTCTAATTCGAAAACACCAAATTCTGAACTATCGAAATTGGAATTTTCTTCTAATTTGGAATTACCAAATTTAGAACTTTCTCCCAATTCAAGACTACTAAGCTCGAAATTTTCTATATTATTTAATTCAATACTGCCTAATCTAGTATCTTCTAATTCATCTACTATAGTGCCTTCTAAAGTAGAATTTTTTGATTCGTCAATATCTAAATTAGAACTTTTATCATCATTAAAATCATCATTTTCTATTATTAGAATATCACTTGTATTTGTATTACTATGAAGTAATTGGCCAAATACTATATTGTAAGGTGTTGTTTTATGAGAAGAACAATGTTGATTATTCATCACCCCTATATAATAATATATTTTAAAAAAAGTATTTTAAAAAATATAAATATATAAATAAATAAATACTTATAAATAACACATTTTAAACTAATGCTCCAATCAGTTTTACATGTGTCTTCCATCCATGCTCCTAATTTTACTTGAAAAATATCATTTCTTTTCTCCACAAGCCCTTGACATTGAGGGTTCCTAGGATGACCATGCACCATTTTTACTGTAGACCAAAAACTCAACATTTCCTTAAAAATATTACCAACAAATTCTCCACTATTATCAGTATGAAGAATTGCAGGAGAACTATATATAAAGCAAAAATCAAGAAGTGTTGTGGTGGCCTCTTTAGCTAATTTAGACTGAGCAGGTTTAGTATAAGAGAATCAGCTAAAATGATCTCTTATATGAAAGATATACTTATATTCTCTGTCAGGTATGGCCATCATATTAATTGTATCAAACTAATACAATTTAAATTTTATTAGCTATATTAATTTATATATTAATGTTATTATAAAATACATACTTGAACATGATTCAGAAAACCTTCTGAAACAATAGGCTGTATTGGTGGAACTCTCTTAGTAATACGTCAAGTAATACACACTTTATATTCATTAACTACATCCTTAACTAATTGCTGAGAAATATAGCAGTATCGAATCTGGATCTAATAAGAAAATAAAATTATTAATATAAATTTAATTTTTTTTAAAAAAATTACAAATTTACCTTTTTCCAGGTTTTTTCATGCCCACCATGCTCAGTTGCTTGGTAGGCAGCACAAATTATTTCATAAAAATTTTCGACACAACAAACTTGTATCCCTAAATTATTTCTATCTTGTTTATATATATGTAGTTCCTCTATTACACCAATATAAAGAACTTTAAAAGTGTTAACTACTCAATGCTTAAACCTTGGATTACATTAAAGGTCCGGATTTTTTAAGATATTTAGACATTCATTATAATGATTTTGATCTATCAAGCTTCGTTTGTTTTTTCTTTTATTAACAAAAGTCTCAAATATTTGGTTGAAGGTTTCATAAGTCACAAAGTTATATCTTTGCGAATCCATGAATGTTTAAGAAAACATATAATACAAGATAGTAAAGGTTTGATTCAAATATAAGAAATAAATAAAAGAACAAAGAAACAACAATAAAGAATTATCTTTATAAATATTAATGAAGATATCAATGCAAATATCAGTACAATTATTAATCATTTATTATTATCATTAACAAAATACACAATTATTATCTTCATTATTAATTAATTATATAATATGTAATTATTATCATTATCAATAGTTTATTAAATTGCTGTAGTCTCATGATTGGCATCACAAATTGACCTGGGTCATTTCACAATTGGTGAAAATCGAGAAATAACATGTGTCAATTCAGAATCAATGTAAATTCCGAAATGGCATAGAACAGATATAGTAGAAATGATAGATATGATAGAACTAATAGATCTGGTAAAAATGATAGAAATGATAGAAATAATAGATTTCCAGCACAGTAATTTGAGCCAATCAGAATCAAGTTACATGTATTAGAATTAGTGCTTTTATCAAAATCATCCTGATCTCATGATCTCATGATCAGAATCATATAATCTTGTGCTTATTAGAATTGTCTTGGTGAGCTGAATCCAATAGTGGTTATTTCATTCAAATTGGTTTGGTACATCAAAAGTTATAGTCAAAAATGTGTAAAACTCTTAATATTAACAACATATTGATCTAGTTTTATGCAACATGTTATAATTATTTAATACTTGTAGTCACAGAGAAAACCTATTTAACTACTACATTACAATATTTCTACTTTTGTAAAGTTTACTAAAATTCTAGTATCTATCTTACTAGCATCTTTTCTATTATCTTCTATTAGCTACAACTCAGAACTGATAATCTCTGACCAGACTACCAGTTCAGATAATCTGATATGGTATACTTCTATATCTTTTTTCTTTAGCAAGTATGGCAGCCTGGTTGGTTATATGTTTCTCTATATATATTTGGCATCTAGTTTAATGTTCAATTTCTATAAAAGTATTTTGTGAGCTTTAACTAGTTTGATGATACTATTAAAAGTTTGTACTACCTTTTTATTTAGAAATTTCTAAATAGGTTTCTGTTATTTTAATTTATTCGTCTTCTACACCTAGTGGTCTTATTGTGGGTTTGCACCAAAGTCTTATGCAATACTGATTATATATTTCTTTATATATATGTAATATTATATTTTGCATAGATATTTCAAGTTTTAAATATCAGTAGGACCCAACTTTGTATATCTGAATTATAGCTATATGAGGCCAACTAATTAACAAAAGACAGTTATTATAATACAGATCTAATTTCCAAATTTTATTATAGGCAGGAGTTAAACCTTAGACCTGCTATTTGAAAAATAAAACCCAACTATTTTAACAAAATTATTATTCTTTATTAAAACTTTTAAAAAAGCTAAAAAATTCATAATTATATAGATAAATGCAACATGAAATAGCTTTTTTTGAAAATATATAGAAAAAATATTGTAAAGCAGTTACTAATTAAAAAAAAACAAATAAAATTAGCTTTGCAAATAAAAAGAAAAAAAAAGCAATTTAAAAAATAATATAGTTAGCAGTTTGATAAATAGAATATATAAATAAGTTATAGAAAAAGATCAAAGCTGAACTATAAAAAGAAACAAAAAATACAAAGTTATGTTTAGATTTAGTTATTAATTATATAAAGAGAAAAGTAAGACCATTATTTTATAGCTCTAATGGCTAGCTTAATATAGATCTTTGACAAGATTAATTTCTGACCAGTGTGATAAACTGTTTCTAGGCATTTATAGAAGCAGCTGGTAGATATTAAGCCAGAATTTAAGCCAACTTTGTACAAAATTATATATATAAGACTTTTAATAAAGGTGATCTGTATCCTACAGACATTAGTTATAAAATTTTTAGCCAAATTAGTTTCCAATGCATTTCTGCTATTATTACTAATTAAACATTGCCTTCTTAAAAAAAAATTTTTTAAATAATAGAAACATAGTAAAATTTATTCTATTTCTAAATACAACACCTTTGATAATGACCTTGACCTTATATAACCTATTAGTCTAATCGAATATATTTACAAACTTTACACAAAAAATTCTTACAAACTGACTTAGTTCTGTATTTTTCTCAAACCCTATTCTTTTATCTTTTAATTATGTTGTATTTCTTAATAATAGTATTTAATTTCTATTTATAATCTTAATAATCTTATTAAAGATACTATCTGCAATTACAAGGACATTTAGTTATTTTTACAAAATATGAACAAAGCATATGATTCTGTAAACTTTACTTTTTTTAAACATTTACTCTTCTGTATTTCACTTCTCTTATTCATTATTAACATTCACACTAATCTTCTTAATGATCATCATAATCAAATTATTACTAATCTTGGTCTTATTCTTTTTTATCCAGTTCACAATAGCATTGACCATGATGAAACAATTACACCTTTATTATATTGTATCTATTACAACCTACTTATTTCATACATTTACTCAAAATACCTAGTTATACTCTAAAATCTACTTGGACCATTAATCTGAAACTTCAAGCATCTAATTTACTATAAAAAAAGTGCTTTGTTTTAGCATATATAGATGATACTCTTTGGGTTGCTTTCTTATAAACTGAGTTTTCTTTATAGCTAAATCATTTTATACTATAGCTAACATCCAAATTAATTTCTTAAAATTTATTCTGGTTACTAATAATCCTTCATTTTACTATACTCTTATCTCTTATAATAATCATCTACTTCCATCTTATTCATTCAAAAACAACCTTTTAAATTCTTAGATTACTAGTTTATTTTAGATAACAAACAATCTAAACAAACAAACATAATTTTTTTTAAATTCTTCTAACTTATTCAAATTGCAAAAACACAACACATAACTAATTCATATGCCTACTATATTATCAATACAGTCATTATTCCTACTATCAAATACTATTTACACATATTGTTATTAATTAACATATTGCAACAAAATTTTTACCCAACACATTAGTCATGTTAAGCTCAAAGCCAAACTTTGCTGCACAATACCATCTAGTATATCCTCAAATCTACAATATTAAACATATCTGGAATATTTAACTACAATACTACATCTTCAAACTTTTTAAATAATTTAACAATTTTGACCTACTAGGCACATTTACTCATATATGAATTTAACAACTACAAAACAACTTCTTTTCTTCTACTAATATTTTTCTTCATTCTAAGTCAATTATTGATAAACCCAATTACTTAATCACAAACTTCAAAAAAATATATTTTATTAAACATATAGGCTAAACTTCTTTAACTAGTCTAATCTACAATACTCTAAATAATAGAACTATCTCACTTGAATTTCTTCTTTCTTCTTATTCAAAATATCCTATTTTCAAAAAACAACTTAGCTATCATAAACTTCTTTTTATAAACCAATTCACTGTTTATGACAATTTATATCTATTACACTAGCAACACATTTTATTTAGACTTAACAAAATTTTTTTTTTTTTTTTTTTAAATATTAACAATGAGGCCATGCCTTTAACTTTATTGAAATTCAATTGAAGTTTTTACAAAGAAAA